TATTAGTCTTCTAATACCTGAACACAGATACCTTCCCATGTATATTGATGACTCTAACTCCTTCTCAACGTTGTATAATTTACCTCCTTGATTAAGTTTTTCCTATTTAACTCCTTCTCAATGTTGTATAATTTACCTCCTTGATTAAGTTTTTCCTATTTTACTACTTTAAGCTATTATATATGGAAAAAAATGTTTCCTTAATTTCCTTTATGTTCATTGTAATGTATAGAAACACAACTGATTTGTGTATGTTGCTTTTGATTTTGCAACTTAGCTGGATTTGTTTATCAATTCTTAGTATTTACATAGAATCTTTGGAACTTTTCACATATAAGGTTATATCACCAAATTATAAAGAGAGATAATTTACCTTTTCTCTTATTTAAACATAGTATATTTTCAGTTTCTTGCCTTTTTGTGTTTGTTTGGTTTAAACTTTCAGTACTATCTCAAACAGAATTGGGGAAAAGAAGCATCCTTGTCTTTTTCCTAATCTTTCAGGAGCAAGAGAAGTGTTTTCAGTCTCTTACCACTGGGAATATTGTTAGCTATGGTGTTTTTGTATATAGACTTTACTATGTTGAAGTGATTTTTCTCCTATTCTTAGTTTATTGAGTGTTTCTAATATAAAAGCTTATTTAATTTTGTCAAATGCTTTATTTTTTGCATCACTCGAAATGATCATGTGTTTTTTTCATCTTTCATTTTGGTAATGTGGTATATTATCTTAATTGATTTTTAGAAGTGAAAAAATGGGCATCCTTGTATTTTTCTTCATCTTTCAGGAATAAGAGAAAGGTGGCCAGGTGCAGCGGCTAACCCCTTCCCAAATCCTAGCACTTTGGGAAGCCAAGGCTGGTGGATCACCTGAGGTCAGGAATTCAAGACCAGCCTGGCCAACATGGTGAAAACCTGTCTCTACTAAAAACACAAAATTAGCCAGGCATGGTGGCACACACCTGTAATCCCAGCTACTGTGAAGGCTGAGGTAGGAGAATTGCTTGAACCTGGGAGGCAGAGGTTGCAGTGAGCCAAGATCACGCCACTGCACTCCAGCCTGGCCATCAGAGCAAGATTCTGTCTCAAAAAGACAAAAGAAATGTTTTCAGTCTTTTACCATTAAGAGTGTTAATTGACTGTTGTATGATAAACCATCATTGCAAACCAGGAATAAACTGTAAATGGTGATGATGTATAAATAAATGTATTTATGTTTGCTAATATTTTGAAAAAAAATGCATCGATATGCATAAGGGATATGGATTAGTAAATTTTATGTTTCTAGTGCCTCTGTCTGGCTTTGTATTAGAGTAATGCTGGGTCATACAATGAGTTTGGAAGTGTTCCCTTCTTTTCAATTTTTTAAATTATACTTTAAGTTCTTGGGTACATGTGCAGATATTGCAGGAATGTTACTTAGGTATACACATGCCATGGTGGTTTGCTGCCTCCATCCCCCCCATCACCTATATTAGGTATTTTTCCCAATGTTATCCCTCCCCAATTTCCTCACCCACTGCTATCCCTTCCCCAGGCCCCCACCCCCAACAGACCCAGTGTGTGATGTTCCTCTCCCTGTGTCCATGCATTCTCATTGTTCAACACCCACCTATGAGTGAGAACATGTGATGTTTGGTTTTCTGTTGTGTCCGCTTGCTGAGAATAATGCTTTCCAGATTCATCCATGTCCCTGCAAAGGACATGAACTAATTCTTTTTTATGGCTGCATAGTATTGTATGATGCCACATTTTCTTTATCCAGTCTATCATTGATGGGCATTTGGGTTGGTTCCAGGTTTTTGCTATTGTAAACAGTGCCATGATGAACATTCTTGTGCATGTATCTTTATAGTAGAATGATTTATAGTCCTTTGGGGAACAGACACTTTTCAAAAGAAGACATTTATGCAGCCGACAAACATATGAAAAACTGCTCATCATCACTGGTCATTAGAGAAATGCAAATCAAAACCACATTGAGATACCATCTCATGCCTATTAAAATGGTGATCATTAAAAAAATCGGGAGACAACAGATGCCGGAGAGGTTGTGGAGAAATAGGAACACTTTTACACTATTGGTGGGAGTGTAAATTAATTCAACCATTGTCTATGATAGTGTGGCGATTCCTCAAGTATCTAGAAATAGAAACACCATTTGACTTCTTTCCAATTTTTTGAAAGACTTTGAAGAATGTTGGTCCTAATTCCTTAAATGTTTGGTAGAGCCGGGCACGGTGGCTCACGCCTATAATCCCAGCACTTTGAGAGGCCGAGGCAGGTGGCTCACGAGGTCAAGAGATCGAGACCATCCTGGTCAACAAGGTGAAATCCCGTCTCTACTAAAAATACAAAAATTAGCAGGGCATGGTGGTGTGCGCCTGTAGTCCCAGCTACTTGGGAGGTTGAGGCAGGAGAATTGCTTGAACCCAGGAGGCGGAGGTTGCAGTGAGCCGAGATCGTGCCATTGCACTCCAGCCTGGGTAACAACAGCGTAACTCCGTCTCAAAAAAAAAAAGAATTGAAAAATAAATAAATAAATGTTTGGTAGAATTTACAAGTAAAACCATTTAGTCTGTACTTTTCTTTATTGAGAGGTTTTTGATTTCTGATTCATTCTCCTTACTAGTCATATGACTGTTCAGATTTTCTGTTTCTTTATGATTCAAAATGTGTGGGTTGTATGTTTCTAAGAATTTATCCATTTATCCAATTTATTTAGGTTATCCCACTTATTTCTATATAATTGTCCAAAGTATTCTTTTATAATTCTCTTTATTTCTGTGAAATCTGTTGTCATGTTCCCTTTTTAGTTTGTGATTTTATTATTTGAGTCTCCTTTTCATCTATGTCAATTCAGTTAAAGTACTGTCAGTATTTATATTTTCTGAGAACCAACTCTTATTTTTATTAATTTTCATTATTTTTCTCATTTTGATTTTATTTCTAGTTTTTCTTTTTTCCTTCTTTTTGATGGCTTTGGATTTAGTTTGTTACTTTTTCAAGTTCTATATGATGTAAAGTCAGATTGTTGATTTCAGATTCTTCTTGGTAAATGTAGTTGTTTAAATCTATAAATTACCCTCACCACCATTTTCTCTGCATTTAATGAAATAATACATTGTGTTTTCATATAATTTCTCTAAATAAGGCTTCAAATTTGACTTGTGATTCTTTGTATCTATTTCATTGAGTGTGTTGTTTATTTTCACATGTTCATGAATTTTCTAGTTTTCTTTCTGTTGATTTCTAGTTTTATTCCATTGTGATAAGAAAATACACTCTGTATGATTTCAAACATTTAACATTATTAACACTTGTCTGATGTTCTAATTTGTGGTCTATTTTTGGATGATGTTCCATATGTTCGTGTGAAAAACTGTATTCTACTGTTGTTGGCTTTACTGTTTTGCATCTGTCTATTAGATATAATTGGTCTCTAAGTGGTCTATAATGTTTGTCAATATTTCTTTTTTCTTATTTATCTTCTGTCAGGTTGTTCTATTCATTATCGAAAGTGGAAGATTAAAGTCTCTTACCATTACTATAGAGTTGTCTATTTCTCCCTTCAATTCTGTAAATGTTTATTTCATATATTAGTAGTGCTGATGTTTTGTGCATGAATGTTTTTTATTGTTATATCTTCTAGATGAATTGGCCCTTTTATCACTATGTAATGTTCTTTGTTCTTTGTCTCAAAAACAGTTTTTGACTGTTTTTATTTTATCTGATACTAGTATAGCAAACTCTTCTCTCTTTTGTTTAATATTTCAATGGAATATATTTTTTATTCTTTCTATCTTTATCCTTAGATCTCTAAAACTAGCCTCTTGTATGCAACATATAGTTGGATCCCCTGCTTTTAAATTCATTGTCATATATATATGTATGTGTGTACACAAAAAGGATATAATTATATATGTGTATGTGTGTGTGTGTACACATATATAATTTTAATATATCCTTTTTGATTAGTAAGTTTAAACCACTTACTTTTGAACTAATTATTGATAAGGAAGAACTGAGAACTTACTGTTGCCTTTTTTTTTGTTTGTCTTCTATATGTTTTAATAGGTTTTTGTCTCTCACGCCTCTCTTAATGCCTTCTTTGTGTTGATATTTTCTGTACTAAAACATTTTTATTTTCTTCTATTCCGTTTGTGTATATCCTACAGATATCTTTGTGATTATCATCAGGTTGCATATGCCATTCTAAAGTTATGGCAATCTATTTTTAACTGACACCAACTTAGTTTCCATCATATGCCAAATATTTACTCCTTTACAGCTCTCCAAAACATATTTTAGGTTATTAATGTCACAAATTGCATTTATATATTATGTACCAATTACCATTGATTTATAAATTGTTTTGCTTTCATGTTTTAAATCCTATAAAATAATAAAAAGTGATTACAAATCAAAATAGCAAAAGTCAGGTTTTTATATTTATGTATATATTCACCTTTCATGGAGAACTTTTATTTTTGTATGAGTTTTAGTTACTGTCCAGCATCCTTGTGTTTCAGCTTGAAGAAATCCCTTTAGTATTTCTTTAAGGGCAGATATAGTGGTAATGAAATCCTTAAGCTTATGTTTATCTGGGAATGTCTTAATTTTTCTCATTTATGAATGGTAGGTTTCCAGATATTGTATTTTGGATGAACAGACTTTCCTTTAAACACTTAAAATGTATTGTCCCAGTACCTTCTGGTCTACAAAGAATTTGCTGACAAATGTGCTATAATCTTATTGAAGATTTCTTGTATATAACGAGTTGTCTTCTTCTTGCTGCTTTTTAAATGATTTTCATTTTGTCTTTGAGTTTTGGCAATTTGATGATAATGTGTCATAGTGTAAGTTTTTTTGAGTTTATCGTGGTTGCGGCTTATTTGGTTTCTTGTATCTGTACATTTTGTCCTTTCTCAAATTTGGAAAGTTTTCAGTCCTTATTTACTCAAATAATTTTGTTATTCCTTTCTATTTTTCATCACCTCTTCAGACTTACATAATACATCTATTGTCCCACTTGATGATGTACTGTAAGTCATTTAGGTTCTGTTCATTTTCCTTCATATGTCTTTTAAAATTTTCTTCCTCAGCCTTAATAATTACACATGACCTGCCTTCAACCTCACTGATTTTTCTGCCTATTGGCGTGTGCTGAGAAACTCCCCTAGTGAATTTTACAACGCAATCAATGTGTTTTTCAGCTTCAGAATTTATGGGATGTTTTTCTGGTAATTTCTGTCTTTATTCTATATTCTCATTTTGTTTATAAATCATTTCCTGATTTTGTTTAGTTGTCTGTACATATTTTCCTTTAACTCATTGGTCATATTTAAGAATGTTGTTTTAGTCTTTGACAAGAAAGTCTGAGGGCTGTGTTCCTTTAGAGAAAGTTTTTGGAGATTCGTTTTTTTCTTTTAAATTGACCACGTTTACCTGTTTCTTTGAATACCTTTGGTCGAAAACTGGACATTTGCAAAAACAGCTCCCTCTCAATGTTCTTATCTGGCACTATTCAGGGGAGGACTTTCACTCTGCAGCTAAGTGTGAAATCTAAACATTCTCTGAGGCCTGCATGGACATGTGTCTTGCCTGGATTTATATGTATGCATTTTTAAATAATTCTCTCATATACACACTGCTTTTATGCCACAATTTTACTAAGAGCCATACCTGCCTCTTCATGACCTTAGATGTTCTACTGTATTCCTCTATCCATAAAGAAACCTACTTGGTTGTCTGACAAAAATCTTTCAGTAAAAGTAAGACTAGTTGGAGGTAAATAATCACTATTTAAAAAAAAAAAAATGGGTAAAAAAATAAATGCTGCAATTCCACACTAGAAAGCAGATAGAAGTATAGCAAAATGACGATTTTGGAAATGGATAGGACACAGAGAACAAGTCGTAAGTCCCAGGGAGACAAAATGCTAATGAGAGCTGATTAGAGAAGAGCCAAGAGGGACTACAGTTTGTTCCACAACTCAGAACTGCAGTGCTGTGGCAGAAGGTAAGCAGCTGCGGCCCATTTATACTTAGGCAATTTCCATCACAGTGGGTGTGGGAAGAGTCAGGAACCAAGAGGCAGGCATTGAGGGGTAGCCTCCGGCACCAGTAAAGTATCAGAAGAGGAACTGGCCAGGCGCGGTGGCTCAAGCCTGTAATCCCAGCACTTTGGGAGGCCAAGGCGGGTGGATCACGAGGTCAAGATATCGAGACCATCCTAGTCAACAAGGTGAAACCCCGTCTCAACTAAAAATACAAAAATTAGCTGGGCATGGTGGGGGGCCTGTAATCCCAGCTACTCGCGGGGCTGAGGCAGGAGAATTGCCTGAACCCAGGAGGTGGAGGTTGCAGTGAGCGGAGATCGCGCCATTGCACTCCAGCCTGGGTAACAAGGGCGAAACTCTGTCTCAAAAAAAAAAGAACAGGAACCAGGGACTTTGAAACCACAGAACCCATACTGTAAACACTGCAACAATAACCTGTTTTCAAACATAATTTCACCACATTCACCTCTGACCCAACTCAGCAATCAACATTAAAAGGGAACAACTTGACAATTTCGTAATGAAGCAAACCTTGATCCATTGTTCACAGTGACACATCTGGTAACTTAGTTCCTTTTTCTCAGACACATCCAAGGACAACGTTTTGGCCTGGCCACTCACTCACAAAAGCACGTCTCATTTTTGAAAATTGTCTGCATAAATGTGTAATGTAGTGTGTCCGTTTTACTTTACAGGCCAAGCAACGACTTCAGAAATGGTGAATGAATACGAGAAAATTGTTTTGCTGAAAGGATTAGAGAACATGGATAATTATCATTTTACAACAATGAAGTCCTTACTGGCCTGTGATTTAGGACTAACTTCAGAAATGCAAGAGGAATGTAACAGAATTCAGATTTTAGATTTGATGGTAAAAAAGTTCCCAGGTGTTGCCTGTGTAGACAAACTAATAGAACTGGCTAGAGATACGTCACTACTTAAAAATCTTGTTAACAAGCTTCGAAAAGAGAAGTCAAAAGGTAATAGGAAAAACCTTGCATATGGCTACTCTGCCCTGAGTCTCCCCAGTCTTGAGTAGAAACCCACCTTGGTTATAGCTGGCACATCCTTTTCCCAAGTTATAACTCAGCAGTCATGGCAATGTTGGCACCTCAGAGACCAACCAGTTGGCAATTTAGGGCATTATGTTTCATATAAAAGAGACTGATATAGTTAGAAATATGTATTTGGGGTAGGGATAAAAAACCAAAGACAGGGATTTATGAGAACCTGAGGTTTTCAGTAAATTAGAAATGTCAGAAAATGAAAATAACTACTTTTTAAAACGTAGTTTATTTGAAATATTTGTATTTAACCAATTTATACAGCAAATAGTTCTATTAAGAGATGTGTAGATTTTTTCCACTTAATAAGTCTCTGGCGTTTTTTTTAATTCAGAAGCCAACATTAGCACTTTGCCACATTACAACTCAGATCATATCTCCTTTCAGGTCATATTTCTGTCATTTGAACAGATATTGCACAGCACATGACCAACCTGTCAGCATCATGCAAGCCTTAGGTATTTAAAAGAAATGGCAGGAGAACAAGGCTGAGAAGGGTTGACTGAGGCACATGGAGTTCACAGGACAGGAAGCATGTTCTCACTGTGCAGGGGAAGAACGAGGAAAGCACTGAGGAGAATGAGACAGCTCCTGTGCCTACGTGCTGCTGCTGGCCTCCTAGCAGCCAGGCTGGGGTAATGCAGTAGAGGTAACAGGCACATCGGAACTCTCATGCAGGAGCTGACAGCAGGTAGTATTGAAACTGCTTCAGCTGTCTTAGATAAGCTACTTCAGTCTAGGTCAGTGTAGGTTTATTGTGCCCCTTTTCTTTTGTCAGTTGCTAAGAAAATGTGAAAGCAAAAGAAATCACTCCAATGAAAAAAGGAAACCAGGAAAAAGTGGGTCCTGCGGCACCTGCACCCACCGCAAGAAACACGCTCACATCTGAGGGAGGAGAGAAGATTCCTGTAGCTCAGGTAAGCCTGAGAAAGAGGAGCAGGATCAAAGTCCCACAGCAGATTCTCTGCTATGGCATGTGGATCTTCGTTAATATCTCAACACAGCTTAGATTTACCAAATTAGTAATTTTGGATCATCTTTGTAATAGGTAAAGAGCCAGGCATCATAAAAATGTAATAAAAAAATTTCTGTGACATAAGTATATTATCATCTCCATTATAAAAATGGGATAATCATCATGTTTGATATATATCTTGCCCATGCTTATACGAATCTGGATTTTCTCATTCCAAGTCTGTGCTCTTCTCCTCACACCTTGGTGGTGATAAGAGTAATGCATCTGTTGAAATCATCCATCTCCTCTGTAGTGCAACAATCTACACCCAATATTATCTATCCTCCACATCTTCAAGTGAGAGGTTGTAATTCCCTGGATTTTCCAAGGACATCCCATCCAATATAAATAGAACTTACTATGATTTAATGAAAATTTGCTCTGCTTCTTTTGATACTAAACCCCATTAATAGGAAAATTAAACTGCTTTCAGAAAAGAAAAACTCTTATCAAAGAAAAGACTGGAGTCAAAAGGAACAAGGTGACCCAGGAGCAGAGTCAGCCCCCACATCCCTCAGGAGCCAGCACATCTGAAGCTATGGGCCATCCCCCAGCACCCCAGACCCCATCATCAGCTCCATCCAACACTTCATTTACTCAGGTACACACTCTTCCTGGTCCTCTTCTCCAATATTTTTTAACCCAGTAACAGTGCATTCCACTTTTACTATTGTTACTCTCATGCATAACTTTCTGTTAGTGATTTCCTGTGGGAAAACTGTTTTCTACATTATGGTAACTTGTTCACATTGGTGAGAAGCCACATCTAAATAAAGTCCAATTACCCACAGGTGATCACTACAACTCAAATGGACCAGGCCACTGTGGGGAGAGGACATTAGAGATAAACAAATGTCTCCTTTGGTTGTTGTTAGCCTTCTAGCCACTGTGAATTGCCGTCTACATCCTTGAGAACATAGCTTCTGGAAATCCTCCGCCTGAGACTACTTATATGCTGAGCCAGACCAAGCCAAGTCTTTCCACTTGTAACAGCACTATTTCTTGGGAAGAAAAAAGGAATTGGGCCATCAAAATGGCAGAGTACAGTAGTGATAATTAGAATTTCTTAATGTTTGAGACTAGTAGTGGGCATGGTCCTTCCTTTTTAATGCTATCCAAGTTGTTTTCATTTTTTGGATTTCTTTCGTAATTTAAGTAAGTAGAGTGGATATTTGGATTTGTTATTATATTCGAATCTTTAAGTTTCTTCACAACAATGCTTTCATCATCTACTGCTCTAGGTTGTTCATGCGGAAGATCATGCTTTGCTTCAGGAAGGTTATTCTGAGTCAATGAGGGTGATCTCATTTCCAAGCCTGTTGTCTGTTACCTTAAACTTTCACTAGCTAAACTACACCAGCTCACGTGCCTTTCCTTTCTGTCCAGCAATTCCTGTCTAGCCTAGCCCCCAGCTCCAAATATCTGTGAAAGTTTCTGGGTTGAAAGCTCTGCAGAGGCACTCATGGAGAGTGACTTTGTATTCCTGCTCAAAGTTTTAAGTTTATTTTCTTGTGTCCGCCCAACACAGAATCAGAAAACCCAGGCCCTACGTCAGGTGGATGCAAGAAGAAGTGTTCTCCAGAAGGGCCCATTGACAGTGATGGTACTGAAAACAACAGAGCCATTTAAATATGAGTCCCCAGAAAAAGGGAAAAGCATAATGTTTCATGCTACAGTGGCAAGTGAGACTCAATTTTTTCAAGTGAAAGTCTTCAATACCGACTTGAAAGAGAAATTCATGAAGAAGAAGGTCATTACCATATCTGATTATTTTGAATGTAAAGGAATAATGGAAATAAATGAAGCATCATCTGTGTTTGAAATTGATCAAAATTTTGAGGTCCCAAACAGAATTATCAAAGGAGCAAATAAAATCCCAAGATCAATCATCTTTATAAGCAAGCATCTGGAACAATAGTGTACGGGTTGTTTACGTTAAAAAAGGAAATCCCTTAATTCTGTTTTAATTTTCTCTACCATGACTTGGAACTAAATGTCTTAATTTGCCAGACATTGCTTACTGTCTGAATACTGGAACACAATCATTTATATTGACTAGAGATAGTGATGAAGCTGTCACACAAAATAGGCAATAGGACTAAGTGACTTATTAACTTTCTTACACCAAAACAAATGTAAGGACTTTGAGTTAGTAAGAAATATTGGCAATAATGATCTCTTGTCAGCCACAATGAGCTAGGACAATACAGGGTCTAGATCAATAAGCTCAGGCGAATAACATCATTTCTTTCAGCTCTATTCCAATGGGCGCTCATAATTTTACTTTGAATTTTGATAAAGTTATTTTGAATAATGAATTGTGCTACCGAGGTTGAGTTCTGGTGGTGACATACATTTGGAGTAACAAGTGGATCGGCTGGTACGCTCATAAATGCAAATACGTTCAACAGCTATCCATATAATCTAAACATTTGTGCTGTTGCTCTTCTATCTTATGTATTCATTTATTTATGAAGATAGCACTAAACAACTGAGAAATATTGAATGTCATGATACTTAAAGGATAAGGCAATTTGATCCTATTATTTACAAAAAAAGGGTTAATTAAAAGGCACAGAATTTTATTGATATGTTCATGTCCAAATTCAAGATGCTAGTGAGGATAATGCATTCCATCCCTTTCTCCATTCTAAAACATCACACATTTCTGTGAATTCAACTCACATTTTATATGATTGACTGCTTTATAACCCTATATACATGTCTTTCAAGATAGCCCCTTAAATTTGCCTCCACATTTTCTCACACTCTTTTTAAGAGATCTTGCTTAGAAATGCAATTACAGAATTGATGAGTAATAGCTTAAGTGTGTGAGACATTATAAATTGAGGGAGCTCAATTATAATGAGGTCAAAGGCGACAAGATATTGGTAAAGAATAAGTAATGAGGAAGGCTGAAAAAGAATAAATGATTATGTTATAGGAGTTTTCTTCTTTAAAATTTCTCAAAACCTGAAGTAACTCAGGAGTGGAAAACCAAGTATTGCATGTGCTCACTTATAAGTGGGAGCTAAGCTACAAATACACAAAAACATAAAAACATACAGAGTGATATAACAAACTTTCAAGACCCAGAAGGAAGAAGCTGGGAGGGTGGTGAGGGATACAAAACTATATATTGGGTACAATATACACTATTTGGTTGATGGGTACACTAATATCTCGGAATTTGCCATTATATAATTAATCCATGTAACCCAAAACCATTTGTACCCCAAAAGCTATTGAAATTTTTTAAAAGTAAAATAATAATAAAGTGAAAATCCTCATAATCAACTGAATGAATAATTGTGGAAAGCATATATTTGTTTTTCCATAGGACCAGGAGCCAAGAAGTTCTATGGGAATTTTTGATTCCTCTACATCTAGGTGCTTCATTAACTCTCAGCTGATCTGAAGGTGGTAGCAGGAGAAAAGAAGAAAATATTTATTGTTGTATACAACTGCAGGAAGAAAAATACCTTGAGCAGGAAAAGCAAAAGCAAAAAAAAAAAAAAAAGCCAGATAATAAAAAATAGACCTTGTGAGATGGCAGGCCCAGCCACATGTATGATCTGTATCTGTCATTCCTGTCGTGCATATTGCATTAACTTTGTCATGAGGCTCTTTTTTGTGTATATGATACTAAGAATACTCTCAGAAACAGGATTTTAATCTTCTTTTGCAGAAAATAGTACACAAGAAGAACACAATCTATGAGATACAGGATGATACAGGATAATACAGGAACCATGGACATAGTGGGGAATGGAAAATGGCACAATATCAAGTGTGAGGAAGGAGATAAGTTTCGACTCTTCTGCTTTCAACTGAGAACAATTGACTACAAGCTGAAACTGATGTGTGGAATTAACAGTTTCATCAAGGTGGGAAGTGGATAGAAGACAATGAGTTTCCTAAAAAGGCAAATAATTGTGTTTAGGATTTGGAAAACCCCAGATTCTTCATGTATTACTCAGACAGTCCAGCGGGTGGAAGGAGAACCTAAACAATGCCCATGCGCTCATTTGTAAGTGGAGGATTTTAAAAAAGATATTAAGGTAAAGGCATTCACACGGCGATAGAAAGGATATAATACTGTGTTAATTGATTTAAAGGTGTGTGTAGGTGCAGGGAACATTGGGCTCAAGAGCCAGGGCTTTGAGTAAGACAGATGTGATTTGAATCTTGGATTTTAACAAGCACTAGTTGGCTGATACTGGGGAAATAGTTTCATTGGTCCTCTAAAATAACGGAAGCCTCCACTTCAGGATGTTTTAAACGTTGAGGCAATACATACATATTAATTGTGTCACAGTCTGGCACATCATAATAAACTGATCTGTGGTAGATAGTAGTTTTTTAGGATGGTAAAGACATTGGGATAACTTTTAGGCAAGGGAAATGACACATGAAAATTCCAAAAGTGTGACACTGCGTAATGAGTTCTGTACAAATGAAATTCAGTAGATGCAGAAGACTGTGGGACCAAAATATTTTTTAAAAGGCCGGGGAGGTGGGGAGTGCCAAGGCCCAGAGACAAAAAAGAAGCAGAAGTAAATTAATGGGAACTTCATTGTTGAAAATACATAAAAAATTGAAATAAAATTACACTGAAGAATGCCTGATCACTTTGACATTTTAGCAAAAAATACTCCAGCGACAATCTATGGAGTTGCATTACAGAGAGATTAGGCATGGGGCAGAGATATCTATTAGAAGTAGTGTGCTGGAGTTCACTCATATCCTTACTAAAGAGAGCTTATTGTTGGAGATTCAGGAATTAAACATGTGTCTTTTGAAATCATCCATGTGAAAATATGTATACCACCAGACTGCAAATGTTAAAAATCGAAACTTTTTAAAAACTGGGCAGTTGGTTAATCAGGACACCACAGAAGTTTATTTCAAAAGTCTGTTTAGGAAGGAAAAAGACAAATAGGGATTAGTTAATGGAAAGAAAATGAGTTTTTTGAACGTAGATCATCATAATTTTGTGACTAATGAGCTTTCATAGGGGAGGAGAATGTAGCCAATGGGAAGAAAAGATATGGAAGGTGAAAGGAGAAGCATAAACAGAGCTTCATTTCAATACCTAGGGTCTCACTATATCTTTCTTATCTCTCTTTAAAGGTCATCAAGACCAAGAAAAACAAGAAGGACCAATGAATATTAATTGAAATCTGCAAGCTGCAATGCAACAAACAACTTCTGCTTAAAACAATTGTTAATAGCTGTGTGTAAATCTTCAGTAACACATTTAAATAATGGATTTAGTAGATATATTCTAGCATATTAAGAGAATTTATATCTAAGTTATAGATTAGGTTGCTTTCTGGATTAAAATTTTCTTCTTATAGGCTTCCATTTTTTTTTAGATATTACATTTTGCACTTATGACATTCATAAGGTAAAAAATACAGTATCTTTCTTTGAAGGACATAATTTTCCCGAAGTGTTGCCTCTGTTCTCTGAAGATCAGTAGTGAGCTGCTTGAGGCTGAATGCTTTGTGCACTGTGAAGCACAGTAAGGAGATGGGGAGAGACACACAGGGCCTTATCAACACTGGAGTCTATATCCAGAGGATAAGACCCCAGTAAAGGCTATGCCTACATTTATGTAGCCCATGCTTAAATGAACAAACACCGTGGCCTAGGGAAGTAGTAGACCTAGAGGAAAGGATTCCTTATTGCAATTATGTCCTCCAGAAGGGGCCCATTTGGGTCATTGGTTTCTCTGAAGGGGACAACATTGGTGATTTGCATAAAGATATCAATATATGCAAGACACATTCCCCCCCTTAGCTGGGGTGGATTATCATATCCATCATATGCTATTTATCTGATTTGCAGATACACATGTATTCAAAATTAGAGCACTGAAAGCATAAAACATACATTAACAGATCTGAGGAGAGAAATACACAGCAATGTAATAGTAGGAAACTTCAGTACTCACAATAATGAAGAGATTATCCAGGCAGTTATTCAATAAGAAAATACCAGACATCAACAATTCCATACACCAATGGACCTAACAGATATAAACAGAACATTCCACACAACAGCATCAAAATACGAATTTGCCTCAAGTCTGCGTGGAGCATTGTCCAGAATATGTCACATGCTGGGTCACAAAACAAGTCTTAACAAATTCCAGAAAAATAAAATTATAACAAGCATCTTTTCTGATTATTATAGAATTATCCTAGAAATAGGTTATTTGGAAGAATCAATATTGTTAAAATGACTATACTGTCCAAAGCAATTTACAAAGTTAATGCTATTTCTATTAAACTACCAATGTCATTTTTCACAGAATTAGAAATTGCCTATTTTAAAATTCTTATGGAACCAAAAAGGAACCCAAATAGCCAAAGCAATCCTAAGCAAAAAGAACAAAACTGGAGGCATAATATTATCCAACTTCAAACGATACTATGAGGCCATAGTAATTAAAACTGCATGCTACTGGCACAAAAACAGACCCATAGACCAATGGAAGAGAATTGAAAATTCAGAAATAAAGCTGAACACTTGTAACCATCTGATCTTTGACAAGGTGAACAAAAATGAGCAAGAGGGAAACAACTTTCTGTTCAATAAGTGAACTCCCTATTCAGTAAACTTAGTAACTGGCTAGCCATATGCAGAACAATGAAACTAGACCCATACCTTTCACCATATATAAATTAACTCAAGATGGGTAAAGATTTAAATGTAAGGCCTCATGTTACAAAAATCCTAGAAGAAAACCCAATAAATATCCCTCTCAACATCCACCTTGAAAAAAATTTTTGGTTAAGTCCCCAAAAGCAATTGCAACAAAAACATAAAATGACAAGTAGGACCTAATTAAACTAAAGAAGTTCTATGCAGCAAAATAAACTATCAACAGAGAAAACAGAGAATCTACAGTATGGCAGAAAATATTCATTCACTATGCATCTGACAAAGGTCTAATACCAGAATCTATAAGGAACTTAAAATAACAAGCAAAAAACAAATAACTCCATTAAAAAACAGGCAAAGGACATGAATAGCCATTTCTCAAAAGAAGGCATGAGTAGCCAACAAACATGAAAAACTGCTTATCACCACTAATCATCAGAGAAATGCAAATTAAAACAACAATGAGACACTATCTCACACCAATTAGAATGATGCTTATTAAAAGGCCAAAAAACAGATGCTGGCAAAGCTGAGGAGAAAAAAGAAGACTTATAGGGTGGTGGGGGGGATGTAAATTAGTTCAATCATTGTGGAAGGAGTTTGGAGATTTCGCACATAGCTTAAAAATAAGAGAAGACACAAACAGATAGAAAAACATTCCACACTCATGGCTAGGAAGAATCAATATTGTGAAAATGGCCATACTGCCCAAAGTAATTTATAGATTCAATGCCATCCTCTTCAAGCTACCATTGATCTTCTTCACAGAACTGGAAAAAACCACTTTAAACTTCACGTGGAACCAAAAGAGAGCCTGCATTGCCAAGACAACCCTAAGCAAAAAGAACAAAGCTGAAGGCATCATGCTACCTGACTTCAAACTATACTACAAGGCTATAGTAATCAAAACAGCATGGTACTGGTACCAAAACAGAGATACAAACCAATGGAACAGAACCAGAGGTCGTGGAAGTAATGCCACACATCTACAACCATCTGATCTTTGACAAGCCTGACAAAAACAAGCAATAGGGAAAGGATTCCCTGTTTAATAAATGGTATTGGGAAAACTGGCTAGCCATATGCAGGAAGCTGAAACTGGATCCCTTCCTTATACCTTAACACAAAAATTAACTCCAGGTGGATTAAAGCTTTAAACATAAGAACGAACACCATAAAAAAACCCTAGAAGAAAACCTAGGCAAAACCATTCAGGACATAGGCACAGGCAAGGACTTCATGACTAAAACACCAAAAGTTACAGCAACAAAATAGACAAACTAGATCTAATTAAACTTAAGAGCTTCTGTATAGCAAAAGAAATAATCATTAGAGTGAACCAGCAAGCAACAGAATGGGAAAAATTCTTTGCAATCTACCCATCTGACCAAGGGCTAATATCCAGACTCTACAAAGAACAAAAACAGATTTACAAGAGAAAAACAAATTCATCCAAAATTGGGCAAAGGATATGAACAGACACTTTTCAAAAGAAGACATATATGAGGCCAACACACATGAAAAAATGCTCATCATCACTCGTCATTAGAGAACTGCAAATCAAAACCACATTGAGATTCCATCTCATGCCAGTTAGAATGGCGATCATTAAAAAATCTGGAGACAACAGATGCTGAAGAGGATGTGGAGAAATAGGAACACTTTTACACTGTTGGTGGGAGTGTAAATTAGTTCAACCATTGTGGAAGACAGTGTGACACTTCCTCAAGGACATAGAAATAGAAATTCTATTTGACCCAGCAATCTCACTACTGGGTATATACCCAAAGGATTACAAATCATTCTGTTATAAAGACACATGCACACATATATTCACTGCGGGCACTGTTTATGATAGCAAAGACGTGGAATCAACCTAAATGCCCATCAATGATAGGCTGGACAGGGAAAATGTGGCACATATACACCATGGAATACTATGCAGCCATAAAAAATGATGAGTTCGTGTCCTTTGCAGAGATGGATGAATCTAAAAACCACCATTCTCAGCAAATTGACACAAGAACAGAAAACCAAACACCGCATGTTTTCACTCACAGGTGGGTGATGAACAATGAGAACACCTGGGCACAGGGGAGGGAACAACACTTACTGGGCTAGGGCAGACTGATGAGCCAGCTCTTGGAAGTACCTGACTTCACTGCATCTTGTTAAGTTTTTCAAGGAACACTAAGTTCTCCCAGTCATGAGAGGCACAAAGCAACCTTTACCCTGGGAGATGGAGGCTGTATGGCCTTTGGGGGCTGACGGGCAGGGCATTGAACATCAGGGAATAGCAGTGAAAGAACTTGGCAAAATTTGTTGTGGAATTTTGAAAAAGAGCTATCACGCACTCCATATCTGCTTGATTAGACCATCGAAGTGAAAAGGGACAGTCACTTTTATTTAGAGTGCAGATGGAATATCTAATCCATTTTAGGCAGGTATTTACATCCTGATACCTTGTCCCAATTGCTATGGTTTGCCTTAGGTTTTTTACCTCCGCTACAGAGACTTCGATTCCATCATTGTGTCTAGGAGTAGTGAGTGATAAAGAGGTTGAAGGAGCAATAAAGCATATTTCAAACTTTCTTTGGAATCCTTTCCTGAAATGCCAGCTTTGATACCATAAATATGACTTAATGAAGGGGAAGAGTTTTCAGATGTTGCAATGGCAATAGTAAGCTGTATAGGATTATATTGGAATGGTAAATACACTGGAAGTTTGTACTATGGGCCTGGAAAAACCACACTCAACACCAGCCCATGAAAGCAGCCAGGAGTGTTGCTGCACCCTTCAAAGTCACAGGAGCACAGCTGCCCAAGGCCATGAGAGCCCACTTTTTGCATCAGCGTGACCTGGATGTGAGACATGGAGTCAAAGATCATTTTGAAACTTGAAGGTTTAATAACTACCCTGCTAGACTTTGGACTTGCATGGAACCTGTAGGTTTTTTGTTTTGGCTGATTTCTCCCATTTAAAATGGGTGATTTACCCAATACCTATACCGCCACTGAATCTAGGAAATAACGAGTTTGCTTTTAATTTTACAGGCTCATAGGCAAAACAGACTTCCCTTGTCTCAGATGAGACTTTGGACTTGGACTTTTGAGTTAATGCTGGAGTGAGGTAAGACTCTAGAGGGCTGTTGGAAGGGCATGACTGTGTTTTGAAATGTGAGGACACGAGATTTGGAAGGGGCCAGGTTAGAAAGAGAGGGTTTGGCTGTGTCCCTACACAAATTTCATCTTGAATTACAGTAACCATAACTTCCATGTGTTGTGGGAGGGACCCAGTGGGATGTAATTAAATCATAGGGGTGGTTTCCCCTATGCTATTTTTGTGATAGTGACTGAGTTCTCATAAGATCTGATAGTTTTATAAAAGTCTTCCTTCTTCATTCAACTCTCATCTCTCTCTCTCCTGCTGCCATGTGCAGAAGGATGACTTTGCTTCCACTGCTGCCATGATTGTAAGTTTTCTGAGGCCTCCCTAACCCTGCAGAACTGTGAGCCAATTAAACCTCTTCTTTTTTTTTTTTTTTTTTTTTTTTTTTTTGAGACAGAGCCTCACTCTGTCACCAGGCACCAGGCTGGAGTGCAGTGGCGTGATCTTGGCTCACTGCAACCTCCGCCTCCTGGGTTCAAGCAATTCTCCTGCCTCAGCCTCCTGAGTAGCTGGGACTACAGGT